AGCTCCTCGGGGCAGTGGTCCTGTCTCTGTGCTCATCCCGTACCGGTACCACAGCCAGGGCCTGCCGAGTGGCAGGCTCTGGGAGGGGCTGACGGCTGAATTTTGACCCCGGTACTCACATGAATGGGATGAGGCAGAGGAAGAGCAGGGTAGCTGCAATGGCGCCGTAGACAAAGCCCCGGACGAGCCCTCTGATGAATGCCTGCTTGTCCCAAGGACCCTTACCTGGAAGTAGAGGGTATACGAGCAAAGCTCCCTCCTCCCTCCTGGGGATTGGAGCTGGAGCTCTGCTCCCTCCCCCGGCCCCGGAGCCTGCCCCCATCTCGCTCTTCTTCATCCAGGCGCTGGGCCCCCTCCATCCTCACTTGACATCAGCGTGATGCTCAGCATGTGGTTCCCGTGGTAGTTCTTCCCCTCACAGAGGAGATGCGTGCCCATTTCCGGCTGCTTGGTCAGGCTGATGGTGCTGTTGGCCCAGGGGCCAAGGATGGTGGAAGTCACTTGGCGACTGTCATCTGGGCCGTCCACACCCACGATATCACCTTCCATCCACCACCGCACGGAGGGTGTGGGGATGCCATGGAAGGAGCAGGTGCACCGCAGCGTCTTCCCCAAGGAGCAAAAGGAGTCGATCAGCCTGGCAGGTGCTGTGTGGAGGGAGGGCCAGGAGGCAGCGAGGTGTGGTGACTTCCCTTCTCCGCTTCCTCCAGGACCCAGCCTTCTCCTTATTCCTGATTCACAGGGAGCTCTGGAAAGACGTTCTGGGAGCCCAGAAGAACGGGCCCTCACAGACCAGTTCTCCTTCATCCTCTCTCCTCATCTGGCCTGAACCTGAACACTTGACCTTCTAGAATGGAATTTTCTGGGGCTCTACACTGCCCATCCTCCCTTACCGACTCAGCGGGCCAGACTTCCCAGCCTCAGCTCCTACCTTCGCTCCCTTTCTCCTAACCGCATTCGCCCCCTTGGGCTCTGCCCCTTCCCAGCTCCATCTGCGATCATTTTCTCCCTTCATCACTGAGGGTCTGGATGCTGTTGGGCCAATCACTTCCCCTCTCTTGCCTCCTTCCTAGTCTGGAAAGTAGAGATATTCGCTGAACCTGTATCATACTATCACTGCTGAAAGGACAGATGTCCTGAGGTTTGCAGTGTTCCCAGCTCAGTGCATGGTAAAGCATTACCCATTCGATAAATACAATGCCTTTCTAGATCTTCTCCCCAATCTCAAGTGGATTTTGCTTGAGCATTCATCAGAAGCAAAGACTGCTCTGATATCTTCTGGGTAAGAACATTTGAAGCTGCCTCACTCTACATAGACTGGGTAGGACGTGCCGTCCACCTGGCGAATATCACGGATTAGTAAGGAGGAATCGGTCCTTTGTCTTTTTGCATACTCTTTCATTTGAGTCGGTTGAGGTTACTGGAAGAAAGGGGTAATTTCTCCCTAAACAGTAACCCTGGATCTCGTGACTTTTCCTCTGGGTCACCTGGGAGGATGAGGAATTTGGGGGTGATGGGCGATGCACAGCCTCTCTTCCACTGCTGTCCTCTAGATTATTTATTTCCATCTGGGAAAGCATGCGGACAGACTGAAAAACTGACTACAGTTGGAGCCCCCAGCATCTGCCAGTGATATCTGAAACGGCTCTTTGTGCTCTCCTATCTTCAGACCACCCTGAGCGCCCACCCTCACCCCCAACCCTGCCAGAATCTGGTCCACAGACGTCTGATCCGTATTTGGTTATCGGCACCCTACACCCTCGTGTTCGCTTTCTTCATTCCCCCACGGCCCCCGGCTTCCTCAGACGCCGCCAGCGCTGCTTCCCCTTCCACTCACCCAGACCTTGCTGTGGCAGCACCATCTGCGGCAGCAGCAGTCTCAGGGACAGGAGAGGCCCGGGGCCTTCACTGCAGCTGGCTTCGATATCAGAACCGTGTGTTCTAGATGGACTGAGATGATGAGTAACTGGAAGAGGATGTAGGGGCGGGGAGAGCAGAGAGTATTTTTAGCAAGTCAGGGGCTTCTATCTCTCTGGCCATCTTGAAAGCCTGTCCACTCTGAGAAGCAGAAATTACATGGGATGAGATGCTCGAGAGCATCTAGGGACAGGGTGGCATCCACTGGTTTGCTGTGAAGTCCCATTGCCAGGTCTCTTTTCTTCTCTCGCCCCTAGTCTTTCGCTCCTGGCCCAGCCCCCTTGGAGGGACTCTATTACCAGGTCCCTTGGGTTCCCTCTCAAAGCTAATGGGGATCCATGGGAGGGGTGCGTACCACGGAGGGACAGCATCAGGTCTGGGTGTTTGGAATATCCCTTTGGGGCTCGTGTGAGAAATGGTCTGGAGGGGGACCAATTGCAGGCTAGGTGGCCAGGGAAGACTAGGGTGGTGGTCTGGGATGAATGACACACCTGAGTTAGCGCATGGGCTGTTAGCGCATGGGCTGTGAGGATGAACAGGGCAGATCTAACAGATCTTTGGGAGAATAAAAATAGATAGTAATTCCTACTGCTGATAGAAAAAGTTCCAAACTTCCTTGCTTTGACGAGGGTCTTCACAATTTTGCCTCTCCTGCCTTTAGCCTTGTGCTTTTTCCAGCATTTTCGACACCAGAGGGAAATGTCACCCTTTCCAAATCTCACCCTAAACACACCTCTCCCGCCGCTCAGGAACGTCCCCCTCTCACGGCCTTTCCCAACTCCCTCTGCCCACACTCAGATCCTGCTTCGATTTCAAAGCTGAGCTCAATGCCACTTCCTACATGCAGCCTTTCCTGATCGCCCTACCCAGTCAGAAGCCAGAATAATCAAATTGTTTGTTCTTTCCAGGGAAAAAATTAAAAAGTTCCTCATAATAGCATTGTTTCTGTGTAGGTGCCAGACACCGACAGTTACCTATTCCGTTCTTCATTACAAACAAACTCGACTTTGCTCAGGGTGAAATTTTGCAAGCTAAAGCGTGACTTTGTCTAGCTTCCTATGGAGTTAACGGGAGTGGGACATGTGACACCGTTTTAGTGGAAGTGAGCTGGGGACTCCTGGGGAAGTTTTTCTTTCCTGATATTGTTCTTTCCTTCTTCCTTGTTACTTCTTCTTCCTCCCTAGAGTATGGATGTGATGTTGGAGGCGGAGCAGCCATCTGGTAACCATGAGGTAACCAGGAGGATGAAAGCCACTCATGAAGCATGTTGTAGAACAATTCAAGGAGCCTGGTTGCCTGACGGTCTTGCGGAGCTGCTACACCATCCTGCACAGCCTACCTCTGTACATCTTCACATACGAGGAAAATAAGCTCTCATTGGTTAGGTCACTCAGTTGGGAAACTAATGAAATATCTAATCGGAGACTCTCCCTGACAGTGAGCTTTTTAAGGAAAGGCTTTGCATCAAATAGACCTTTGTGCCCTCTGTGGAAATGACCTTGTTTGATAGTCACTGATAAAATTTTCAATGTCAATCTCACCTTTCCTGAAACTAACGCTTTTTTTTTTCTTTGAGAAAAGAAAGTAAAAGTTAACTTTAATTGGCAGTATCGATACAAACACTTGGTTTAAAAAACAAATTCTGCCTCCATATTCTGCTCATGGAAAGGGCCTAGAAGCACTGACATATCCATGGTGGTAAACGCACTTAGCACCTAGATCCTGGTTTCCAAATAGTGTCGATCAGTGTGCTGGAGCGTAAACCAGCTGTGAGAGCTGATTATAAAGTATTCAAGGCTATTGCTAGCTGGCTGTTAAACACATTCATCATTAAAATTAAATTGTATAAACCTATGATTAAACAAATTATATTAGAAACAAGGTAATAATTCTCAAACCTAATTACTTCTAATATTTCTAAGACATTTTACCGTTAACTATGTTCTTGAGGTTGTTTACAGGTATTTTATCTGTAGGATGCTACCGTATCTCTTCCTAACGCCACATCATGGGTTAGTAGCTTAAAACTGACTATAGTGAGAGTATTTACACAGTGGAAACTGGCAATATTACTTTGGAGATCCAGCCGTTAAAATATTTACTAGCACACCATGGCTAACATTTCCCACTCAAAGAGACCCATTCACCTTGGAACTGCCATCCATAAACCAAGCAGCTGAGAGCTATTCATTGGTGCCACTCAAGTGATAACAGGATCTGGCAGCCCCTCGGTCATTCTAAAGTTGATCCCAAAGGAAAAGAGGTCACCTGTGTCTACATATGATGAGTACCTCCTATATTCTCCTGGTAGCATGTCCCTCTAAACCATTTCCACTTTATGATGGAACTCTTCTGGGCATGACCTTCCTGATCAGCATGTTTATTCAACATTCCCCAAGACGCCATGGGTGTTTCAGGATTATTTTATGTCCTTTGGTCTTAAGGGCACTTTCAATTAAAGCCCAATAGTCAGCTAGTTGTCTCTCTCGTAGAAACCTTCAGGCCCCGAATCCCAGTGGCTGCCACCGACTGGTGTTCCCTGGCTTTTGCCATAAGCTTCAGTCTGCATAAGGATCCCAAGACTTCTTCTCAGTAGTTTTATGAATAGGGGCTAGCAATATTCCCAGAGGTACAAAATGTGTTCTCCAAACTCCAAATAAACCAGCCAAACGCTGGGCTTCTAACATGGTTTTTCTAACAGATACCCTATACTGTGTGGGCTTGGGCCATCGTATTGGTTCCCGTTCACCATGTCCAATCGATTTTGGTGAAAGGGTTGACACAGCTCCTGTTTTATAACACTAGGTCGGCGAAATGTTCCCCAGGCAGACACAGTGTCTATTTACATTCAGGTGAAGGAGAAGGCACAATGAGTTCACACAAGATCCGTTCGAACACTCCAATATTCATCCAAACTCTCATCCTAATCCCGGCAATGTGTGCCTTCCCATGTCCACCCAATCTAACTATAACTCCCATTGGAACTCACCAACAGGTTTTAGAATCACTGGGGCACCATGTTAATGGGTCCCAGAAACATCCCTTCTCTTGACTACTTCACCATTAATGTGCATACAGCTTGCAGTCCTCATCTGGCGGTGGGGCCAAGGAATCCAGGCCCTCTGATCAGTCTTTATTTTGATTAGATTATGAGACTATCACCTCAGGCAACTTGATGCCAGGTTCCCCATGGCCATATCACTTCTGGCTTTTTAAAATTCCTCCAAACAAGGGTAAATAGAGCAGGCTTGATTAGGGAGCCACGTGGGGTCCCCACTGGTGCACCCAAACTTCAAGAGTGCTGTGTTTTGACCCCATCGCTCTGCTTTATTAATCCTATTTCTGAATGACTGTTTAAAGATTTTTCTCCCTGTTGGGGAAACCCTCTGACTCTTCATCTTTCTTCATTCTCTTGTGAATCACTCTGATTTTCTTCGCTATCTCTTGTTTCAACATAACATCTTTCTTTACTAGAAAACCCCGAGGCTAGCAGCTATGGCTCAGACTGGACAGATCCCAGGCTCGGCCGGCATCAGGATCCACCCCAGCCCTTTGCTTTACTTTCATTTTAGCTATCAGAGATAATATTAGTTAAGAGATTGTAGCAGTTATATCTAGGTTTGAGTAGGAGATGTATCTGGGGAAGGGGTACAAAGGAGCAGTGATTTAAATTTTAAGGTGGGTGGCGGGTATGCGCTCTTGTTATACTATTTCTAGAACTTTCTCCATGTCTGAATAGTTCATGTTATTTAAATGAGAATGTGATCATTTGTCATTTATGTAAAATTACATGTGTATTACACATAAAGATAAGTTCACATATAATATTTATATGTTCATATATAATACATTCGTAAATATACATATACATAAATGAATAAAACAAAGATATCGAAAGGGCCATAATAAACTGGCACTAGTACTTACCTATGGATACAGCGGAGATTATGGAAAAGATGATGTAAGATTTTCAGTTTTTATTCTATACACTTAGACACTGTTTGACATACTAGTTTGCATCAATGTATTACACTGGTGAACAAATTCTTTTTGTAAAGATGGATTAGTAAAAGAAAAGAAGAAATTATGTAATTAAGCCATAATGGAAATTAAAAATCTTTAAACTAATGTTTATTTTTTACTACATGCCGGCCAACTGCACAAACACATCATCTCATTTATTCTTCCTGAGAACCTGAGAGACTGAATACACAAACAGATAATGGCCAGACCATATATCACCCTCAAGCTTCAACTAAACACCATACGACTCTGATCCTCATTTTGCAGCAACAGTACAAGAAGCTAAACCACAACCTCTTAAGCAACTGTCCCAGAACAGTCAGAACTTGGTCAATAAATATCAGGTTCCTTTTTTTTCTTTTGCCCTATTTTTGCCCCTGCTTCCAGCTTAGAACCAATCAAGGAAAGTCAAATATGCTCCCTTATCCAATCACATAAGTCGCCCCCACTTCTAATTAGCTAACCTCCAGCTTCCCCATGATTGCAACCTTTAGCCAGATACTATCTGAAACTTTTTTTTGTCTTCACTGTAAAAGTTTCCCACTATCCTGCCTGTGTTTGGGTCTTTGCCAAATGCAAGTGATAGGGGCTGACCCTTTTGCTATAGCCAGCTCTGAATAAATCGCCTGTCTGTCCTCATTTGGGTGGTCTTTGTCAGTTCTCTCAAACCCTGTGAAATTAAGTCTTATGATTTCTTTTATATAGGAGAAAGCTGAAGCTCAGAGAAATCAGTGATTTTCCCAGGGTCACTGAGCAAGTGTAGTTAGAAACGGATTTAAAATAAAATTCAAGTTTTTTCTCCACGCCAGTTTTCGAAAGAGTAGAAATTTTACAAGCTACTCGCATTCTCTGGCCAGTAGGCAATATAGCAAGGGTAGAAAGTAATATTAAAAGTTTAAACACCCTCATCTCAGAAAAAGGA